GGGGATTCGAACCCGCCACCTTAGGTGTACATGGCTGGCGCCTTAGCCGGTTGAGCTATAGGCGCCGAGCCTGTTATGAAGTCTTAATGAAGCAAATACCATGGAGTCTGAGTAAGCAAAGAGTGAAATTTGGGAATGATGCAGAGAAGCAATCAGTCAAAACTTACATTCTCGAGTTGATTATATCAAAGACCTTTACATCTTTTTTTTTTTTTTTTTGAGACAGAGCCTCAAGCTATTCCCCTGGGTAGAGTGCTGTGGCATCACAGCTCACAGCAACCTCCAACTCCTGGGCTCAAGGGAGCCTCCTGCCTCCACCTCCCAATTAGCTGGGACCACAGGCGCCTGCCACAACGCCTGGCTATTGTTTGATTGCAGCCATTATTGTGGCTGGATCCAGCCTGGGCTGGATTCGAAACCGCCACCTTAGGTGTATGTGGCTGGCACCTTAGCCACTTGAGCCACAGGTGCTGAGCCCTTTTTTTTTTTTTAGAGACAAGAGCCTCACTTTGTGGCCCTCTGTAGAGTGCTGCACCATCACAGCTCACAGCAATCTCTAACTGCTGGGCTTAGGCAATTCTCTTGCCTCAGCTTCTGGAGTAGCGGGGACTACAGGTGCCTGCCACAATGCCCGGCTATTTTTTTGTTGCAGTTTGGCCAGGACCAGGTTCGAACCTACTACCCTCCGTATATGGGACTGGTGCCCTACTCACTGAGCGACAGGCACCACCCAGACCTTTACATCTTAACAGAACTTGTTAGACACATGCTTGTTAGACTCTTTCATGCTGTAGTTCCCAACCTTGTTTTTACAGTACAATAGCAAACTCTTCTCACATATGCAGTTTTTCTCAACTAAAATGGTATCATTCATTTTAACACCTATGAGACTAATGTGTGCTCAACGGGCCATGTAAAGAGCTGTGGGTGCAACTGAACTGGCCGTGGTGACTCACACCTGTAATCCTAGCACTCTGGGAGGCCGAGGCAGGCGGATTGCCTGAGCTCACAGGTTTGAGACCAGCCTGAGCCAGGCATTGTGGCAGATACCTATAGTCCAGCTATTTGGGAGGGTGAGGCAAGAGAATCGCTGGAGTCCAAGAGTTTGAGGTTCGTGAGCTATGATGCTATGGCACTCTAGTAAGGGCAACAAAGTGGAACTCTGTCTCAAAAAAATAAAAATTGAGGGTGTACTTACTTTACCAGGTTAGTGAGATCTCAAGCATCCATCAGTGTAACTGAGCAAGACCAGGGTGATAAACTCTCCCCAAATAGGATTAGTATGCTATCAGGTGATTAAATAACAGGTGCTTTGGCTGGGGCAGTGGCTCATGCCTGTAACCCTAGCTGTCTGGGAGGCCAGTCAGGTGAATTGCTTGAGCTCACGAGTTCAAGACCAGCCTGAGCAAGAGCAAGACCCAGTCTCTACTAAAAATAGAAAAACTGAGGCAAGAGGGTTGCTTGAGCCAAGAATTAGAGTTTGCTGTGAGCTATGATGGTACTGTAGCAGGGTGACAGCTTGAGACTCTATCTCAAAAAAAAAAAAAAAAGATGCTTTTATAGACTAGGAAAGACATTGCTATACTACTGTAATTGTCCTATAAATACTGGGGACTTGTTTAGAGCTGTTGAGAATTGCTGTCTTAGGGTACTGTTTAGGTAAAAGTATTGATCTTATTCAAGTAGTAACTCTGCTTTGGAAATACCTGAATTGAGATCTCTATCTGGATGAGTCCATATTTATAAAACATATTCAAAGGCCTAGACTCCAGTGGTTCAGTAATTATTTTTGTAGATATCACAGTAACATTCAGAGTTTCTTTCTGAAACTTCATGTATTAATAGATAGTGCTTCTAGATGAAATCACTTATATTTTTGTCTGGTAATGTGGTGTGATACAGTAATGGATAACAACTGTAGGTATTTTTATGCTAAATAGTTCATAAAACATTTTGAAATAAGGAGGACATACCAATTTCTTAAAAGTTTTTTAGCAACAAGACTGCAGTAGGGGATGGCACCTGTTCAGTGGGTAGAGCACCGGCCCCATATACCGAGGGTGGTGGGTTCAAACCAGGCCCCGGCCAAACTGCAACAAAAAAATAGCCAGGCATTGTGGTGGGCGCCTGTAGTCCCAGCTACTTCGGAGGCTGAGGCAAGAGAATCACCTAAGCCCAGGAGTTGGAGGTTGCTATGAGCTGTGACGTCACAGCACTCTACAAAGGGTGACAAAGTGAGACTTTGTCTCTATTAAAAAAAAAAAAAAAGACGGCAGTGGGAATTGCTATTTGGATCTATAAGGCTTGCTCATTTTAAGAAAAAACATGACAGATAAACCTGAGAATAATATCACTTTACTACTGCTGGCAAAAAAGAATAACCATTTATTAAAGTAGATACAGAACACTTGTTTGCTCAAATTTTAATACTGTTTTACATGTTTTCTGTTTGTGAAACAACTCCTATTATAATGTTTATAACAAAAATTTCAATTGTTAACAGATTAACTTAATATTCACTTGTCAAACACAGTTGATAATCTTGAGGGGAAAATACATCAAAGGCATATATACAATTAATAGAAGTTCTTACTATACATGTAGCATGGAAGATACATTTTATTATTTTTTACATATTCTAAAAGACATTCAAATGAAGATAAATAGATTCAAACTGGCTGACAAACTATCTGTTGGTTGAGGTCCTTCCTTTTATTTTTTGTGATAAGAAAATCCAAAATTATTAACATTGAATTTCTCATCATACATTCATCTAAAAACAGTTAAACTTGTAAAGGAAGATTGTAGATTGGTTAATTTAGGTGTTTTATAGTGGCTTATTATTAAATTAATTGACTGCTGGGGATACCTGCTAGAAAAGGAAAAAAATTTTGGAGAAAATTCTTCCAGTTATTAGAATTTGGTAAAGAAACAAAATGAAAACAGAAGGAAAAAATAATTGCAAAGCCCTGTGATGCTATTTTTTGGATTCATCTTTTATGTTCAGATGATCGTTTTAAGTGTTTTCTTTCTCATAAAGGTAAATACCTGAAAAGAAAGACACACTGTATATGTTTTTTTCCCAAAATATAGCTTTTAAAAAAATATATACATATAATATATAGAAGCTAAAATTATGCAAAACCAATAAACAAAACACAGTACAGAAAGTGGATGCAGCATATAGATTATAAAATGTCCCCACAGCAGTTTGGGGGCTTCCCCCTCCCTTTACCTGTTTCATGATTTTATAATCACACCTAAGTATTATCAAGCCTGAAATAAAGGCACTACTGATAACAGGTAGTGCAAAAAGCTCAGATATTTCTTTGAATAAAATACTTTTAAATGAGTAGATGAAAATGCAAAATGGCACATTTTTTCAACTCATTCCAGTGTCAAAGCTTAACCAAAAACCTAAATATACAAATGCAGCCTGGAAATATTTTAGTGCAAATATGAAAAGTAATGGCATAATTTAGTTACTTTAAATAAGGTATTGTATGGGTAGGGATTTTTTTATGAGGGACAAAGAATGTAATGGCATCTGGTGCAATGTCTTCAAACTTAAGAAAACAAAGTAAGAGGAGAAAACTCACCTACTAAGTATTTATTAATCTAACTTATAAGGGAAGACTAAAGTGTGATTTGTGAAGATCAAAATATTTTCTTAGATTTGTTGATGGTGGCAAAAAATAACATATGAGTTCTCCTGAAGTCTGCACACACAATGCTGGTGTTAAATTGCTTAAACGCTAGCACATCTGAAAAAGCCCAGTTCTTGACTTGAGGCTTCATCAGAAGGTCTCGTCGTCATTGCAGTTGGCTGCCCAGTGGCCAAACATCTCACAGATTTCACAGTATGGGCGTTCCTCACTCCGACTGCCATGGTGTGTGGAATGGGGAGGGTCATCAGACATCTGTGTCTGGGTAGGACAATCCTCTGTGTCATGCAGGTCAAAGCAGTCACAAATGTCACAGAAGAGGCGAGGCTTCTTCTTAGACTGTTTCTCCTGGTCATCACTATAAATGATAATAGGTGAAATTAGAAGCTTTTTCCAAAGAAAATGAAAAGACAGAAATGCTTGTAAAGAATTTTGAAAAACAAGCAAAACCTAACTATGGCCAAGCCTGTCAGTTTTCAGTATAAGTTGGATATTCACATTGAGAATTTTCAGGTCCAACCATTTGTCTCTCTCTTGCCAGATTTATGGAAATTTATTTTGATGGCATAATAAGAAATACCTGTCATAATTGTTGAGATCATCTCCATTCCCATTAAGGGCTGCTTCTGACATCATCTCTACCTTCATCTTGAGATCTTGATTCTTCCTTTGAAGGTCCACTATTACTGAATTTAGGAAATCAATCTGATTTAAAAGAGAAAAAAAAAATATGTGTAAAATATCAAAAACACACATAAGCTGGAATTATCAGGAAGTCATGAAGTAAGTATACCCTCGAGCTATGGCTGCAGAGTATATGAAAGGACCAGTGGCCATCAATGAGCCCTCGTTTTTTTCAGTCTTCCCAGGAAATAGGAAAGTTGAGATTGACTAACAAACTGAATTTAACTGAGGCCACGCCTAGGTGGTAGGGCTATCATAGTTTCTTTTTTCTGCTTTCCATCTTTAAATATTCTTCAAATATTCCTTACTGAGTAGATGCTTTTTTATATTGAAAACATTTTAAATTACATTTCTTTCAGTGTTTCCAGTTGTCAATGGATAAGATTCGTTTGTTATTGAGGCAAATGGAATCATACTTCAACATGTAAATCTGTGGGTTGGTGGCATGCTTACTGATTCATGGAAAAATATAAGAAATACTTCTTTTAATAGGAAAAAAACCTTGCATTCTCTAAAAGTCATACTCTTACAATTCTGCATACACAGGCATAAGTTTTTTTTCTTTTTACTACATACAAAATATCGTAGATCCATAGTCGACCACCTCTCTACCTTGACCACGTCCTTAAGCTGACCTAACTTTCAGAGACTGGATATGCACCACATGTATATATCAATTCAAGAGGCCTAGTTCCTTATGTTGCCACCTCTGAATGTTGACAATCCCTTGGGTAGTCAATTTACTGAGACTACCTATACAAAATTGTATAAGAAGCATAAAAAGGTATAGTTTTACCATTAAACTGTGGAACCCATCCAGGATTTTTCTGTTCTGCAGATAGGAAAAAATTGTGTGGAAATTCCCTTTATACCATCATTTAATGAATGATTGGTAATGACGGAATGGTAAGTAAATGTGTCTTCAGGGAAGATGGAGAAGGCTCAAGTTTCTTTTCAGCTAGGGAGAAATGCTTTGGCAGCTGGAAGGGTAGCATTCAGCTGCTGCGTGTATGAAGAGGCACCTGTACCATGAAGCCTGGGCATGGCCTCAAGAAGGAATACTTCTGTCCTGAATATTTCCTTTCAAAGTTAGGGCATTTTAATTTGAAAAGTTTCTTCCCTCTTCTACAAATAATAAACAAGTCTCATTTCTCTAAACTGAAAGATTCTACTTTACAACATTTAAAATATCTATACATGTACATATACACTTTACTTTTTAAAGAAATATTTGGTCTTTTTCTCCTCCTGAGGCTAGTTATGAAACAAAGTTGGCAATCATTTACAGTCATTCTCTGCAAAATATCCCTGCCATCATTAGCAAGGCCACCTTTGAAAGCAGACCTGCTGAGTTTATTTTCACTTCTCAAATTTTTTTTCTAAGTCATTATCCTGTTAAGAGTGAAGAAAAAGCCACAAAATGGATGTTAAGTGTTGTGGGATAGCACACACACAAACACACATACTAGACGTGCAAATTACAAAACATAAAACAAACCATTTGCTGATTGGAAGAAAAGTGTTGTCAGCAGCAGATGAAACAAATGGAAGCAGAAAAGAAAGGGGAGGGAGAGAAAACAGTGTTAATTATTAAGCCTATTAGACATATAAACTAAGTTGACAATGCTAATGCATGCTGCTGAATCCTTTCATGCCCCTTAAAGACACATAGCAATGGAGGGGTGGGTGGTCAGGGATGGTTTTCACATGTCAGTGACTCTACCTCCCACCCCACTGGTTGTGACTGTTTTAAGGGAGATGTCAGGTAACTAAAACAAACCTCAAGCTCTCTAAACTTTTTTTAAAAATGAAGAATGGCTTTTGTCACTTTGAATTTATTTTTATTGGAGACAGGGTCTCCGTCGCCCGGGCTAGAGTGCAGTGGCACAATCATAGTTAATTGCAGCTTCAAACTCCCAGGTTCAAGTGATCCTCCTGCCTCAGCATCCTGAGTAGCTGGGACTACAGGCACAGACCACCATGCCTGGATAATTTTTATTATTTCTCGTAGAAGTGGGGTCTTTCTACATTGCCCATGCTGGTTTTGAACTCCTAACCTCAAGTGATTCCCCTTTCTCGACCTCCCAAAGTGCTATGATTACAGGCATGAACCACTATCCATGGCCTGAACTTTAAACAGGATAAATACATACAAAAAATTAAAATTAAAACACAGATATTTGTTGTATATGTACAACTGTATTTCCAAATATGGTTTGCTTCTATATGATGCTATTTTTAAAATTAAAGTTATTTTTATTAATTTCGGCTTTAAGAGAGTGATTTTCCAAGATCCCAGCCTTTTGTCTTAGGTAAAGATAAGCGGGAACCCTTTGACAGCAATTCTACTTCTAGGAATTCATCCTATAAAAAATACTAATATGGGTGGCGCCTGTGACTCAGTGAGTAGGGTGCAGGCCCCATATACCAAGGGCGGAAGGTTCAAACCTGGCCCTGGCCAAATTGCAACAAAAAAATAGTCAGGCATTGTGGCGGGCGCTTGTAGTCCCAGCTACTCGGGAAGCTGAGGCAAGAGAATCGCCTAAGCCCAAGAGCTAGAGGTTGCTGTGAGCAGTGACATCACAGCACTCTACCGAGGGCTATAAAGTGAGACTCTGTCTCTACAAAAAAAAAAAAAAAAAACTAATGTGTAAAATGATAGCTGTCCAAAATAGTTTGGTATAGCATTGTTTATAATACACCTTAACTATCAGAAACACCCCAAATTTCATGTCAGCCAACAGGGAACTGACTTAATGATGTTACAGTCATATGTAACAGAATACTACAGAGGTATAAAAAAGATAAGTGCAGAACAGTATATGTAGTAAGCCATTATTTATGTAAAAAATACCTGAAAAGACAAAGCACTAATAGTAGTAATTACCTGTTGTGGGTTAGGGACCTTAGCAGAAAAGAGGGTTTAGAGGAAGATGTTTTACTATGTATGTTCTTAATTCTGTTTAATGTTTGGACCATAGGATGTTATTACCTATTCAAAACATTAAATGATTTTGAAAAACAGCAAGAAAGCAAGGCAGTAAAGTAAGAGTATTACCTGACTCTCCTGGGCTCTTTCATCCTCTTCTGCCTGAGTATCAGTATTACCTTATATTAAAAAACAAACAAACAAACAAAAAAGTGGAAGGGGGGTTTAAAAAAAATAACTTTTTTTCCTTGTTATTGCAGTGAAAGGGCCAGTTTCAGAAACTCACTTTTGGTTGGACTTTCTGATGTGCCTCTTAAGGGCCACCAGCCCTGACCTCCAGGGGTTCCCTCTCAGGATGGCCAATTACTGGGTAAGAATACTTTCACCTCTATCTGAATTTAAAGATATAATCATCCTTCTCCACCAAAGGGACCACCTCTTCTCCTTCACTGCTGTGCACTTTCCGACCCCTTGGCAACTGCCGCCCACCATTCCTTCCATGAGAACACTGCCTGAGCACAGGAAGGCCCAGGAGCGGGGACACCACTACTGTGGGCCCTGGACTGTTATGAGCCCTCATTTGATGAAATGGTCAAAGTCAGGGGAAGCCCAACAGCTGCCTTCACAGAACATGTCTACTAGAAAAGGCTCCTTGGTGGGAAGAAGCGCCAGGCGGGCACGTTTTACCTGAGGAGCTGTTGAGCTGCCTCTTGTTTTCTTTGAGTTGAAGCTCCAAGTTCTTTACCTTGAGCTCAAGCTTCACCTTATCGGACTCTAGAGACTGAACAACTGAATGCAAGGACTTGGCAGAGGCGTTTTCTCCCCTGAGCACTGTGACCTGAAACACAGTTGTGTAGCTTAGGTTCTGAGTTTGAACAAACAGACGCAGTACCAACATTATTCCCCTTAGATGGTACTCTACCTCATTTCTCAGTTTTTCCAGCTCTGCATCCTTTTCTGTGAGTAAGGCACTAGTTATACTGATGGATTTTTGCAAGGAGGCTTTTTCTTCATCTGCATCTTTTATGTACTTGGATTCTCTAAAAGATCAAAGAATTAAAAGTTCCAGAAATCAACCAGGAGAGTGGTCAGTGTGCCAATGTACAACTGTTCTAGATAAACACACAATTAACCTTAGTTAATGTAAAAAAAAAAAAAAGTATAACAGGGAATTTTTATAGGGAGTTAAGGCTATTAAGCTTGCAAAATTTTACTCGAAATTTTACTTACTGTGAGGGGAGAAAAAGTTTACCTATGCATAGACATGCCAGAATCTGCATATGATTGTATCCATTTGAACTTAAAGAAACAAGTTAATAAATTTGGAAAATGTAGAATTAAACTCCCCCCAATTCTACAAAATCTAAGCCCCGAGTTGTATTTGTAGCAATAACAACAATTAAAATACATACATGCAAAGCAATTGTACAGATGTCATGCAGAGCAGTTTTATGCTGGAAATATCAATTGGTTCTCACTAATTTCAGTAACTTTTTAGCAACTTCCAAAAATGTGTTTTTAAGATCTTGTGGGCCAAACAGTAGCAATGATTATTACTACTATTCAAACTGAAGGATTACTACTTTACAACCACAGAACCTGATGAGGGTATTAAATTGCTCGTAGAAATCAATGGTAATGACATAAAGGATATAACAGAAAAATTTTAAAAGGTTTTTCAGGTGTAGAATGAAAGCCTATATAGGGGTTCTGGAAGGAGAAAGTTAGAACACTTGGTTTATGTTTTCAGCCTGACTCAACATTTAGTTATCAGCAGAGGGAGGGGGTGAGGCCTTTGATGAGAGGGAAACATTTGCTTTAACAGTCCAGGAAGTGGGAAAAGAAAGGGAGAGATGGAGAAGAAACAGGGAGGGAGGGGAAGACACAATAAATACAACCCCAAAGGGCAAGCTAGTGTGTTTATCTATGTGTGTATATATTCAATTTTTGTTGTAAAAAGTACATGCATTCAAAAGTGCCAAGATCAGGAAAGACAAGAAAAGACTGAGTAACTGTCATAGATTGCAGGAGACAAAAGAGATATGACAGCTAACTGCAAGGTGGAATACTGATTTGTATCCTGGAACAAAAAAGGACATTAGTGGGAAAATTGGTGAGATCTGAATGAAGTCTATTGTTTAGTTAATAGTGTTGTACCAATGTTAATTTCCTAGTTTTGACAAACTTACCCACGGTTATTTAACATGGTAACATTAGGGAAAGCTGGGTGAAGGGTCCACGGGAACTAACTGCTCTAACTTTGTACCTTTTTTGTAAATCTACAATTATTTTAAACTAAAAAGTCTGAAAATGACACGCAGTGTAAAACGCAAGAGAAAATACTTTAGGAAAAACAGAACCTGAGAACAATTTCCTAGGCCAGCACTCAGGCCACAACTGCATTAGCATAGGCATCAGGGAGAACCGTTAACTTTAATAATAAGCCAAATTACCCCGGTAATTACCCCGGTTCTATTTGAAGTAACTGGGGAAATGCAGAGGATGTAGTGGTTCAGTCTGGTTTTGAACCAAATGGAGGAATAGGAAACTGAGGCCCAGGTTAGAAACGGAAGAATGTATGTCTGGTTAGTGAGACCCAAGATATCCGGCACACAAATTATAGAATTCTCATGATTTATGGTAAATTTATATTCTACACAAAGATGAAAATGTAAATGTTGTATTTATCTCATTGTGTGGCTTACAATTACACTCCAGAATAATAAGTAGTAAGAAAAGAATCTGAGACTTACAGAAATTTCTTGAATTAAAAACCCAAGCATTATGTGCACACTGGAAAGGGGTGGACCATCAGTGTTGGTGAAATACTAAGCAGAAATAGGATTGTGCTTAGGTTAAAACAAAACAGCAATTTAAATAAAAGGCCACCTGGAAAGTAAACATCTGATGTCATCCAGATACAATAAATCTTGGGTTCCTTAAGTTTCTATTAAACTTACTGGGTAAGTCTATTCCATTATACAAATGATTTCCAGAACTTCACTTGTTTTAAGTTCAACTCAACTTAATATTTTAACTGAAAAATACCAGGATTTGAGGATTGTTGAAAATAGACTTGGATTTTCCTATGTTCAGGACACTAGTTGGCCAAGATCCCACAGATTCTTAGTTCTGGGGAGGGATAAACAAACCACCAGGTGGCAGAAGGAAAAAGGAACAGGTATCCTTTCTCTGGGGCCACCAACCAGCTCTGTGCTCATCCGTGACAGCCAACCTCTCAGACAGGCTGCTAAGATGCCAGCAGAATGCTGCTTATACAAGTTATTAAAAGATGCATGGTTAAGAAAGAAATCAGACATGATTCATACACCAAATGTCAGGAAGAGTAGACCCTGGCCGCTCATCTTTGTGATGGAGCTTCATTGCTAGCTTCTTAGGCCATTTCTAAGCCCTAATTCCACTGTGCAAACCACTAAGAGGGGCCAAATTAAACCATTTATGACAACATTACTGACATCTAAGTCACAAATAATACTACTTTTAAGCCATGTTGGCTAAAATGACTTGGTATTACTAAAAATACCAAAAAGGGATGAAAGATGGGATATAGGGACTAGACATTTTTTTTCTCTCCTTACCCACTTAGGGAACATTTTGCCCAGATTCTTTCCTTACTACTTACATAAAAAATAAATTCCAGTAATGAAGCAAATACCTTAAAGTGTTACTGGGCAAGCTTTAAAAATGCAAGATAACAAGAACCAAATATTAGAAACATGAAGAGAAATGCAAATACATCAAGGAGACTAGATTTGCACTGAAGTTTTTTGCTGTATATATAGATACAAAAAAAAAGAAATGTGTGTGTGTGTATATGTATATACTACTGAGAATAGTTTACAAAACAAAAGCAAGACACAGAGGGACAAAGGCAGCCAAAAAATATATACAACAATTTGGTTTACTAAAAATATATGAAATTTATTTATTATAACGTGGATAGACTTTCTTTAGTCTTACCATGAAAGACACACAGATATAGCAAAGGAAGCAAGAGTAGGAAAGGGAAAAGAGAGGGGTGAAATGAGCATTGGTAAGTAGCGCAAGCTCGGAGACAGTCAGACAGTTAGCAACCCACAGTGCGCTGAATGAGCTGAAGTGGCATAGCACCTCAAACCACTTTTCATTCCTGACAGAAACCCTGCATTTGCACTAATAGAATGCATCGTGACTCCGAGAAGTTCATGTCTAAGACGTTGGGATTCCTTCTTTGACATTAAAAGCCTGGTGAAGGGAGGGAAACCAGACCAGTTCTCTCAAATCTGCATTAGACTTGAGGGATACTCTCCACCCCTGGCAATTATGGCAACTCAATATCTACCCTGTTACATCTATTAGACAACTCAGAACCTATTTTGAAAGAAATTTGCCCAATTTGAGAGTTTTTTAAAGAAATGATTACATTTTTAAGCTTAGGGAAAAACTTTTACTACATACTGTTTGCAACCCAATGTTTAAAGATACCAAAAAAAAAAAAAAAAGAGCAAATACAGGAGGCATCTACTTATTTCTTGATAACTAGTTTCATTCTACAGTTGGGAATAAGTTCTGCGCTTTGATATCACAACCATTTGAATAAAGTGATTATATGCTATCTTAACTATGTATGTTTAATTATCACTTCTTTTTTTTTTTTTTTTTTTGAG